GGCAGAAAGTGGAAATGAAAGCAGACAACAGAACATTGTTAGAGATCAGGAAAGGATGTGAAAGGAGACAATTTTAGAGAAGAAAATTTTTTTTGGTCGCTACCCGGAATCGAACCCGGGACCTTTGAATGAGAGGCCAACACCTTAACCTCTAGGCCACGAGAGCCCCGTCAGGTATTCGCGATGGGCTTGTCTCAGTAAACTATACAAAGCAAAGCTGTGACTTGGTGCATGTAGCGAGAGCGGGTCAGATGTGTCACCTACATCATAGAATCAGCAACTCCACTTGAAGCCACACCACTGACTGACAGAAGTGATGTCCATCCACTCCCTTCCAGCCACTCCCCTAGGCCCTTCAAATAGCATTTTCTCAGTGTGCAGTGCCCCAAGCAACACTACAAACTTGTCCTCTCCCAAGACATCTAAAAATTTCAACGGAATCTTCTTTGCCAATGTAAAGAGTGGCTGATCAGCAACCATGACCGGGGTCTGTCCTGAATTCAGTTGCTTTGTAACAGAGGCAACAATGTTCATCCCATGGAATACCATCATTGGACTGTGAGCTGATTCCCTAAAAAGGGGAAGCATCTTCAATGGGGTGACTGGTGAAAGTGGAGGTCCAAGCTTGTCAATTTGAAATATGCAAAATATATATACTTCATAATCACATCATGTGACTAACATATTGAATAAATAAAAAACAGGACCTTCTACATCCAAAATTTTGATTTCGATGGTTAAGGCATCCCCAAAAACATACATTTTGACACCATTTTCATGAAAATCGAAGATTTGTATGATAATTTAGAGTTATTTTCATTTTGCTTGATTTTTCAATGGCGGCCATTTTTAATTTATGCAAATTAGAATGAAATTATGCAGATAGAGCTTGTGTCCGTTTATCAAAATTCTTAGTTTTGTTCAAGGTACGTGTGTGCCAAGTGGCATGTTCCTACTAAAATTTGCAGTGGGGGTGGAGTTAGGGAGCCCACTAAGATGTTGACCCCTGGTTTGTACAATGCATCTCCGAGGCTCTGTTTGAGGGGAAGGTGGCGCTGAAAAGTGAGCAGTAGTGATTGCCTCAGGACTGTCACAAGGATCAGCCTTATCGCCGGTCCTGTTCAACATTTATATTATAACATATATATATTATGTGTGTGTGTGTATGTATATATATATGTATATACATCTAAAATTGCCAGGATCGATGTATGTAAGTGGAGCAGGAAGAAGCCTGACCTTTGCAAATAATGTGATGATCTACGGACAAGGTCGTGATATGCTATCGTTTGGATGGATGCTACAGGACAGGCTGAACAAGGTCACAGATTGGTGTGATGAATACAATGTGGTCATCAACCCAGACAAAGCACAGGTCATCTGGTGCTCACTCAACAACCGTAATGTGAAAGATCCTACCCCTCCAATTGTGTTTTACCACTTTCTCATAGACAGACAGCATGATCTGAAGTACCTGGGAATCACTCTGGACAGGACACTTTCTTTCCGAAACATATTTACAATGTTGCTGTCAGGGCTTTGAAGGGTTTTCATGTAGTGAAGACCTTGGCTTCAGCGGGAATTCAACTGAGAGTTCTTTTTTCTCCTAATGCAGCTGGTGGTTCTGTCAGTCATAGACTATAAGATAAGATAAGATAAGATAAGATACATCTTTATTGTCCAGATCCTGGTACATTGGTTTGGTGTTCCACCACGTGTACACACACATACACACACACACACACACACACACACACACACACACACACACACACACACACACACACAAACAAACACACACACGCACACACGTGCACACACGTGCACACACAAGTAGGCTTACAATCACATGCATAATATAAATGCGCAGCAATATAAACAATAATAATCGTAAGCTAGATACACACTCAATGTTATTTTGATGCATGCTCTAAGGTCGTAAGTATGCTTATTATACAAGATGGTTAAGATGGAAACATTTTGATAGATGATGGTAAAAATGACCTTCTGTATCTTTCTTTGTTACAGATCAGAAGCCTAGTCTTTTACTTCTGACTGATGTTTTTATTTGAGGGAACAAGGGATGTTTGTTGTCTAAAATGATGGAATTAATTTTCTTAGTGCAAGCTGTTATGTACAATTCATCCAAGTAGGGGAATGAAGATGTTGAAATTTTACATGCTTTCCGTATTAGTCGATTTAATTTTTCTTTATCTTGTTGTCTTGTGTTCCCGGCCCATGCAGTTATACAAAAATTGATCATACTTTCTATGGTTGAATGGTAGAAAATGGACATCAATGTTTTATCAACTTTAAAATACTTTAGCTTCCTTAGAAAAAATAGTCTTTTGTTCACTTTTTTATGCAGGAGAGAAGTGTGGACACGCCAGTTGAGTTTGTTGTCCATTGTAACACCTAAATACTTATAGTCTGACACTTGCTCGATGTTTTCACATTTAATTTTGAGTGGCTGCAGGGGCAGTTTCTTTATTCTAAAATCAGCGACAAGTTCTTTTGTTTTTTTCACATTTAAAAGCAGCTTATGATTTTCACACCATTCAGAAAAGTTAAGTACAAAATTACGGTAAGCGGTTTCGTTATGGTCAGTCTGAATTAGCCCAATTATGGTTGAATCATCTGCAAATTTTATCAACTTGATGTTACTGTTGTTTATTTGGCAATCGTTCGTGTATAGTGTGAATAAAACTGGTGACAAAACACAACCTTGAGGGGCCCCTGTATTTGTTGTGATGTATGTCGATGAAGAATGTTTTAATTTTACATACTGGGTTCGGTTGGTAAGAAAATTGCCTGTCCATGAAATTAAATTGACGTTAACATCTATGTTTTCTATTTTTTTTAAAGGATAGCTGGCTGGATAGTATTAAAGGCTGACGAAAAATCAACAAACAGGATCCTACAGTATGTTTTAGGCTTGTCTAAGTGTCTTTGTTGTCAAGAAATAGTAAAATGGCGTCTTCCACACTTCTCCCGTGACGATATGCAAATTGTAGAGGGTCCAGGATGGGTTCTATGTATGTACGTTCGTAGTCTTTTTAGCACAAGTTTTTCAAGACATTTTATAACTACCGATGTTAAGGCTATTGGCCTTAGGTCATTCATTTCAGTAATTTTTTCTTTCTTTGGAAGGGGGACGATTTCAGAACATTTCCAAATAGTGGGAATAGCATGTGTCAACAACGACTGGTTGATAATAATATAGGTGTAAATAAAACTAAGTTGTGCTGAACACATTTTCAGAATTTTGGGTTACACACCGTCTGGACCACACGCCTTTCTCACATTCACACGTCCAAACATACGTCTAACCTCACGTTCTTCAACAACAACAGCATTATTTTCATTTGTGTCGGTGTTCACACATGGCAAGTCACACGGACTGGGCATCCTCTCCCTGTCCAAGACTCTTTGATAAAGAGGTTGGAGAGAGTAAAGAATGCCACTATGAGGGCAGTGTTGGGTTGCACAAAGGGCACCCATATTGTCTGTATGAGATACATCCTGGACCTGGCCAGCATCACGCTACCTTACTGCTTTCTTGTCGTATCTCCATTTTTAATAACAATGAAAACAGTTCATAAAAAAGAGTGAGCTTAAGAAGAAGTTACATTTTCACTGTTTAAAAAAATTGAGGTACACAGTGAGGCATAAGGTGGCACAATCAAAGTTGTACTTGAAAGTTTTTCGAAACCCGAGGAACTCTTTCTGTGACAACCTCAGCATCAAAGGAAATAAGATCATACAGGGCAGCTCATGGATGGCAGAAGCTGAAGACTCCTTGAGGAAAGTTTATTTCATCGATGGAATATGCAGTGGAAATTAATCGTTTGGGTTCTCATGATGGGTCTGAAAGACGAGAATGTGCTGCTGTCATTAACGACAATGACATACGACAGTTAATTGAGGAGCATTCCAAGCCAGAGGACCCAGTGATCTTCACCGATGGATCGGTCAGGAGGGGTGACAGAAGTGGATGGGGTTTTGTGGTGTACAGTGGGAACAAAAAGGTTAATAAGCATGTCCAGGGCCATAGAAAGAACAACTTCAGGCATGAAAATGGAGACTGAGGCCGTAACAGGGCTGGCTTTAAAATACAAGACCAAGAACTACCATCTCATTATTGTCACTGACTCCCAGTGCATCGTGCAAAGGGTTAAGTGGAGATTCTGTCCTGGGCACTCTGGAGTGGAGGGCAATGAGGCTGATAGGCTGGCAGGCAGTTCCATGGTAGATGGTGAGTTGAAGTTTGACAAAGGAGAAGTGTTGAAGACCCTGGAGGAAAAGTTGCGGGATGAGGAAGACAGGGAGACAGCAGAACACCATGCAATCATCAGGAAGCGTGAAATGGCGATAGAGAGGGGAGAACGGAAAACGGAACGATTATCTGGAAAGGAAAGACGTCGCCATAATCAAACAGCGACTGAAACAATTTGTAAGGATACCTTGCGGACTTTGGTGCAGAGGGGAATTGAGCACTTATGGACCTGTCAGGTGTGCAATGGCGCTGTTGCCCAGGGCAGGTAATACAGGTACATGATGTATCTCGTTCTTTTGGTGAGGGCCTGCCTCTTCTTCTTAAACAGCCTAACAGTGTTGAGAAAAAAATGGGAAAGGGAAAGAGATGGAAGACGGGGAGGGTTGTTTAAGCTCGACACAATTTTGCACTAGGCTACTCCATCCGCTTCTCCGGTCCTCTGTGACTCCTCCTTGGGACATCACTGGCTTTTGATTTGACAAGCTGTCGTCAGAGACTTCGTTCACATTCGGAATTCACCGGTGACGAAAAATGAGTTTGGGCGGAAAGTACGACGATAAATCTATTTATTTTATTTCAAATTGAACCAGATTGTTTTACAGCCTTTATAATTCGAAAACAAGAGTGGTATGAAATAAAATGCTGTAGTTTTATTCTAAAATCCCAAGTGTCGCATTCTCTGAAGAAGGAACAGCCTGGTCTGGCTTTTCACAACCACAAAATCTGGCAAACGCCGGAATACACAAACGCCAACTCAAACCGTTGTCAAGTCTTTCGCTTCAAGATGGCGGCCACCGATCCAGGAGCAAAACAAGTTGATGTGTCTCAACTGCCCATCCCGCATTTGAACCATTTATCTCAGCAGCTTGAACAGGTTTGGGTTTAAAATACAATCTGTCTGTATGGTACTTGTGGCTGATTCTTAACAGGTTTATTTAATATGCCAGTGTAAATTCACTCTGCGAGAACTACCAGTTATCGATACCGTCTGTTGCATGCTCATGATTGTCATGATTCATGAAACCGCATGCCTGTGCTGGTCTTGTATTCCATGTTTTGAAATTTTATAAAAAAGCATAACATTGTCTAATTTTTACCAGTGGGAAGACCCCCGTCCCCATAACGAGCGAGCACTATGAGACAGAGTAGAATATAGGGTTAGGGTTCCTAGGACATGCGACTAGGCAGGCTATGCGCAGGGTGGGTACTCTGCCACTCTGGAAATTCCCGGTTTCAGTGTCGCGCCTTTGACCGTCTTCTCACAGCGGGTTGAGTGCTCATGAGAGAAGAAAAAGAAGGAGAATTGAGGAGGAGATGAAGAAATGAAGAAGAAGAATATGAGGAGGAAATGAAGAAGAAGGAGGGAGGGACGAGAAGAAGATTGAAGAAGCAGGGGGACGAGGATGAGGAGCAGGAGGAATTAGGGAGGAGGAGAACAAAAGAAGAAGATGAAGAAGAAAAATCTAGATCTAGATCTAGATTAAGTAGTAATACGTTACAAATTGGGGACTTTTTCGTTTGTTACCCTACCTTGGGAGAGAGGCGAGGGTGGTGGTGAGTGACAGGGAGGGTGTCGTGTCGTTAAGAGCGCCAAGAGTAGCCTACCGTAGGCCTAATTATGTTTTCATGGGTCACAGGTTTAGCCACCTGTAGCCCGGTTTACTACGCCCTGTGTTATTTTGTTGCACTTTGGGGTTTTTTAGGGCCCTGATCAGGATTTTGGGGCTCTCTTCCGGAGAAGAGGTCACGTATGTAGGAAGTGACTACTCTCATCCGGGGTGAGAATAGAAAAACGATCTACCTCTCACCCCGGGTGAGACTTGCCAGCGTAGGCTATTCTCACCCGGTGCGAAACAAGACCTGCTTTTCCTCATTTTGGAATACTGTCTATCGGTGTGGATGATCAAATTGATAAAAGCCAAGAAAAAATTACGTTATAGCACAAAAAAAGTAAGCTAATTTGATCGTCTACAAAGATGCTACGGCTATTTAACTTTTCGAATCGAGCAGAACTACACGGGTCGCCATTTTGTTTTGACCGGAAGTTCTCACGCTACTCCTCTCTCTGTCTCTTTCTCTCTCTCTCTCTCCACTGCCCACATACAAAATTGTACGCTTTTAGTAGGCTACAGTTGTAATGGAACGTTTGTTCACGGCACAGAATTCTACAATTTTTCTGTTATCACAGTGTAGAATTCTGTGGTTTAGGGTGAACGCAAAATTTGTTGGCCTAGATCTAGGTTATAACAGTGAACGCGCACCGGGTGAGAATAGCCAAAAGACTAGCCTGCACTATTCTCATCCCGGGTGAGAATAGAGGTGGCCACGTATGTAGGCTACACAATTGGAAACAAAACCAGAAGTTGCTTTTAAAAAAAAGGGGGAGTTGCAGAGACCCCCTGCTAAATTCACAAAAAAATGGTTTGTTGGTGTTTCTAATGCCAAAATTGTTTTCAGCACTCAAAAAAACGTTACAATAGTTCCAAAAATAGTCTCAACATAGCTATGGGTTTTGGACCTTTGGCTTCTGAAATTTTGCACAATAGGGCGTACAACTTCCATCTGTATGCTTATTGTCACGGCCACCTCTTATTGCATTTTTTTTTAAAACTTCTAAAATTTAGGGGAAGCATTTTTTAGCAATGCCAATCGCCCGCTGCGCCGTGGGCCGGAAATCGGCCTCCGCGCGAGGCGTAATTTTTGGGCCGCTCGGAATCACTAAGTGAATATCTTCTAAGTATAATTACGGGAAAACTTGTGGTCGAAAATGAATGAAACGTGGCAGCCAATCAGAGGAAAGGTTAAACTAAGGACATGCCAGCGTACAATCCGGAACGATTTCTAGAACCGGAGATATTGCCGTGTTTGTGCGAATTTCCTCTGCGGTTCTAAAACTAAGGGGAGCTGCGGGTTGATCGCCGACCACACAGGTGCCTCACATGTCTTCTTTATTGCTGTAAAATTTCAGATCTCTGCGTTTAGTACATATTACGCACCAACTTAAAATTACCACCCATCCATTGATAAAACACTAGAGCTGGAAACTAGATCACGCATTCCAAACGCGAAGTGCCGGCATGCAAGAGGCGCGTGGTCGCTAGGCGGTAAAAACTATGTTACGCAATTCAACAAATTTCACGCAAATATCAGTCTTTAAGATCCGAAGTAATAAAGACATCGAAAAAGTGATAGCAGAACTAGATTCTGCACTAAAAATCGCATGAAGATGCCAAGTTTCTTTCATATGCTCCAATTCATTACTGACTTATGAACAGTTTTTCCTCAAAATACATCAAGACATGTCCCACGTTTTGGCGATATTTTCGTATATGAAGGTCCTCCAACATTTTGCAAACAAAAATCCCAATAACTTTTTAATTTATCAATGGATTTTTAAAGTTTAAAAACCATAGTTCTTAGAATTTACTCTATTTTCATTTAAGCCCATTTTTAAGCAATTCGGACGGAAATTAAATTTTTCATTGACATTGCTACATTTTTACGCTGCAACCACCTATGATGTTTTAAAGTGTAAGTAATTTAAGCCTTAAATTATCAGGCTGTGTTTAATTTGAAATGTTTTCTGAAAGTCTTACCATGTTTTTATCTTTTTTAATTTTAAATATTTTTTATAATTGCTGCTAATGTGGCAGTGGGATGGGGGGGGGGGGGGGGGGGGGGCTGGGTGTGTAGCACACATGACACTTTGCTCCCTTACGGCCATCTTGGGAGAGTGTTTATCGATGTCATGTCAATTTCTGCCATTGCCGCTCTGGAAACAAAAATACATCTAGTTTGTATTATATCGGACAATTTTGTTTTTGCAGGAATTGGAATTCCTTTCAAACTCAATCAACCAGCTGAAAGTAGCCCAGAACAAGTTCAGTGAGTCGGAAGAAGCTGTTTCTCAGATCGGTAGTCCTGGGTCTGATGTTTTGGTACCGCTTACTGCATCTGTATCCTTATACTTATATTGTTTAATTTTTATTATAAATATATTTATGTATTTTGCACTTATAACAGTTTTGTCACTGATGTCAGATGTCATTGGAAAGGTAAATGCAATATAATTAATACTTATTGGGGGGGGGGGGGATTTTTAGCTTTTCCTGTGTTTGTTTTTTACTTTCAGAGTAGCAATTGAAAGACAGGATTAGAATTAGAATATGATTGATTTAATTGATGTCATGAAATGTATTTAATTGTGATGCATCAAAATCCATTGTCCTTACTTTTTAGCTCCTTTCTTTTTTAAAAGTTTGTCTTGTGGAGTTGGGATGTAACGTGTCAAAACTTACTACTTGTACAGTTTTTGTCGTCTTTTCGGTTTCATTTTTACTAACAGTTATTCTTGTCCTGTTTATGTTGTTGACTTCGACTTTAGGCCTAGTAGTGCTGGGAAATCTACAGTTCTAGTAAAATGGGGAAATGTGGTTGGAATTGAAGACTTTGCAGGACTTAAAATTGATTTGAACACACTGAAGTTGTTTCCCGATAGAAACACAGGATGGGGTTCCTGTGGCCTGGAGGTTAAGGTGTTTGCCTGTCTTTCAAAGGTTCTGTGTTCACATCCGGGTAGCAACGGAAATTTTTTTTTTCCTCTCTAAGCAGGAAAGGCTCTCTAGCAATCTAGCAATGTTCTGTCATCTGCTTTCGTCTCCACTTTTTACCCCCTCCTCTGGGCTTCTGACTCTTTCTGCAGCCTTTCTACTGCTACTCCCTGGCTCTTCTGGTAGGAAAGATTTATACCTAGCCTTTTCGAACAAGGGTGAAAAATTTCGGAGGTCCCTATGCAAGCTCCGCTCGTTAAAGATCCCTTGGTGGTCTAAAATCGAAAAGAGTGAGCTTCGGCGCCGCACTGGCAAAATTCAAAATTTTCTAGCAACTGAAAATGTTAAATGTGTTCCGCCCGATGACCTTGTGCAATTGTGATCCCAGGAAAACACTTACCAAAAAAAAATATGGGATGGAGCGTCAGTGTTGTCAGACATTTCCCGTGGAAAATGCGATGTCTTCATTGTCGCGGTTTAGCATCTATATAAATGTCACTAAAAGCACAGGATCCGGCTTAGACGTATGCGTCCTTTTGTTTCATTCCACAAAAAAAAATTCTCGGGAATCGGAGGATAACTTTCTGATGATCAGAGCATTTTTAGTCAGGTGACTGCTAAGACTGCTTTTGTTGTAAATTGCAATGATTGTCAATATATGTGAGGCATCATGGTGAAATCAGGCACTCGTCAAAATAATTAGATCGAAGAAACAGACATTTTTCCTCCAGTTTGGCAATTTTCATGGAATTTTTCTTTTTTGGCTCATCACAATGTATGTCCGTATAAAAACACATTTTTGACTGAATTTTACTGAAAAACCTTGATTAATGGCACAAAATATGCAAATTGTCAGTTTTCAAGGACTCTCAAGCTATGGAAGTTACCAAACTTTGGCGGCCATTTCCTCTCTAATTTTACCGCTGAAACCATGCTGCCCAGCTTTCTTCAATGGCAAGTACCTCAACTTCTATTCAAAATAGATGGGCAATTTTTTCACAGAGAGCAAGGCAAATGAATTAGCCTCCAGATGATACCAATAACTCCACATGCCCCAAAATTGACGAGCGCCTGGTTCCACCGATTCAGGACACATAGTTTATATAGTATGTAAAGCGCATAGAGCCTGCTGTTGAGCGGGGATATGCGCTATACAAATGCTATTTATTATTATTATTATTATTATTATTATTATTATTATATAGTGTCTTTTATATTCTTATTCGTAAATTTTTTAAACATTGAACTTCATATCCTTTTTTAAAAAATATGATGACAAATAATCTAGTAGAGATAGACAGTTGTACTTTGATGTATGTTTCTCGTTCTTGTGTTTTTCTTGATTGTGTCCAAAGGGCAGTACTGTTGGTTAAATGGTGCAGATTTTATATAAGATATGAATTTGAGAAGACCAAAAACCTTAAGTCTTCGGTGCTTGTACTTAGTAAAGTCCTTCAGTCTTCAATGAGTTAATGCTTCTCTTTTGGGTTTTCAACACTGTGCACCCCCCCCGGGGCAGTGCCACTGACTGTAGTGTCTTTAGGCCATTCACAAAGGGGGGACATTTCTCGTTCAAGCATAGTAGAATTGTAAATGGGCTGACTCATGTCATGCTCATAACTGTGCCTGATCTACAACAGGGAACTGCTGCTTTTTCTTTCCTGATCCTTACTATTGTCATTTTCCTCTACTTCTTTTGTATGTTTGTCACTCTCTTGTGACCTGTTCTTTCTGGGGTGCCTTGATAGTCGAAGCAAACTTTGTACTGTTGAAGCTAGAGATGTGAGCAGAGTAAGTCTGATTCCCTGTAAAGACCCACCCCTTGGCGCTCATATGACCTTTATGCAGTTGCGACCGCTGTAAAACCCTCTACTGAAGAAAAAAAAAAGAACACTGTGCCTACACTGTTCGCTAATGAAGAAGGTACATATATGTCTTGTAGCTTGTGGGAGAAGAGGTATCTTCGACTTTGTTTTGTAGAATGTTTATCCTTGACCTGAGCTTCTGCAGATGTATGTTCCGGGTAAGCTGAGCGAAGACCAAGATCTGTTGGTGGATATTGGTACCGGATACTACGTCAACATGGTAAGTAAGCTTTTACAGTTTTGAAGTTATCGCAAAGGATTTTTTCATGACCTCTTCTGTGTTTATTACCATTTTGGATTGTATCAGAAAGGGGGTAAAAAGTTGAGAGCTTCTGTGATTTTTATAATTCATAGTAAATAAATACTCAGTGACCTTATTTTGTTTAAAAAGTTTTAAGTTTTAATACACTTTCATCCCAATTTATTTTGAGCCAGTGATGTGTTCTATGAATGTCTCTACAGATCTTTTAATTTGATATGGTCCGTACTATGACCTGCGTATGCACCCAAACAGTGGTTTTTGAAATATATATAGGGTCAAAAGAAAAAAACTTGTATTACTGGATTAAGATTTTTTAAAGTCTTATTGTTTGGTCGCTGGCCCGTGAAAGTGCCATGCAGTTTCATGGACATAAGAAAATTCATAAATGAGCTAGAATTTTTTTATACTGTCAGAAGAAAGGGACCTAGCTATAACACACTGTAAGAAGACTGCTGTAATGTAACTTGGTTTGTTGGTGGGAGAGAGGGGGAGCGGGGACGGTCCAGAGAGAGAGTGAACTTAAGAGAGAGAGAGTCGGGACTTATTTAGGGGGGGGGGGGGGTAGACACCTCCCTGACATCACGGCAACGGATACAGTGGGAGAGTAGACACCTCGGTGACGTCACAACAACGGATACAGGGGGAGAGTAGACACCTCGGTGACGTCACAACAGATACAGGGGGAGAGTAGACACTTCGGTGACGTCACAACACATACGTCACAACTGATACAGGGGGAAAGTAGACACCTCGGTGACGTCACAACAACGGATACAGGGGGAGAGTAGACACCTCGATGACGTCACAACAGATACACGGGGAGAGTGGACACATCGGTGACGTCACAGCTACGGATACAGGAGGAGAGTAGACACCATGGTGACGTCACAGCATCGGTCACAGGGGGAAAGTAGACACCATGGTGACGTCACAGCAACAGAGAAAGACGGATAGACAGAGAGAGATAGAAAGAGAGAGAGAACGGAGAGACAGGAGAGAGAGA